CAAGGAAAGAATTTGATTTCAGGAGAAATCAAAGGTACACCTTGAACATGGACTTCCAGTCTCAAGAACTGTGAGAAAATAAATTTCTGTTGCTTAAGTTACCCCGTCTGTGGTATTTTGTTATGGCAGCCTCCGCAGAGGAATACAGGTGTCCCCCATAAAGACTTCCGTTTCCACCAGGCTCCTGTGATCACTCTTCCCTCTCCATTCATCACAGTTATTTTCTGTAGTGTTCAGGCCAGGCGTGGTAGCTCACACCTGTAATCTCAGCACTTCGGGAGGCCAAGGCAGGCGGATCATTTGAGCTCAGGAGTTCAAGACCAGCCTGGCCAAGGTGGTGAAAATCCATCTCTACTAAAAATACAAAAATTAGTCGGGCATGGTGGCATGCACCTGTAGTTCCAGCTACTCAGGAGGCTGAGGCAGGATAATCGCTTGAACCCAGGAGGCGGAGGTTGCAGTGAGCTGAGATTGCATCATTGTACTTCAGCCTGGACAACAGAATAAGACTCTGTCTTAAAAAAAAAAAAAAAAAAAAAAAAAAAAAAAAAAAATTATTCAGCATTCATTTGAAAATGAAAATTATTTTACTTGACTCTTCATACTTTATTTTTTTCTCTCCAAGTCTTCATTTGATCATGAACCAAAGCTTTATTGAACACCACAATGCACTGGGTCCTGTTTGAAAGCAAGTGGGTTGCTAGATTCTCCACTTCAGCTATGAATCCACTAAAGAACCAACCAAAGCCTTCAACACCACAGGGCTTAGAAAAGCACGATGAGTTCTCTCTCTCTCTCTCTTTTTTGTTTTTTAAGACGGAGTCTCGCTCAGGCTGGAGTGCAGTGGCTCAATCTCGGCTCACTGCAAGCTCCACCTCCCAGGTTCATGCCATTCTCCTGCCTCAGCCTCCCAAGACAGGCACCCGCTGTTACGCCCACCTAATTTTTTTGTATTTTCAGTAGAGACGGGATTTCACCGTGTTAGCCAGGATGGTCTCAATCTCCTGACCTTGTGATCTGCCCGCCCTGGCCTCCCAGAGTGCTGAGATTACAAGCGTCCGCCACCATTACTGGCTGATGAGTTCTCTTTTTAAAAGTCACTGTTTTGGCCGGGTGGAGTGGCTCACACCTGTAATACCAACACTTCAGGAGGCCAAGGAGAGTGGATCTCTTGAGGTCAGGAGTTCGAGACCAGCCTGGCCAACATGATGAAACCCCTTTTCCACCAAAAATATAAAAAATTAGGCCGGGCCCGGTGACTCATGCCTGTAATCCCAGCACTTTGGGAGGCCGAGGCGGGCGGATCACTAGAGGTCGGGAGTTCAAGACCAGCCAGACCAACATGGAGAAACTCTGTCTCTACTAAAAATACAAAAAAATTAGCCAGGCGTGGTGGCACATCCCAGCTACTCCGAAGGCTGAGGCAGGAGAATCGCTTGAACCCAGGAGGCGGAGGTTGTGGTGAGCTGAGATGGAGCCATTGTACTCCAGCCTGGGCAACAAGAGTGAAACTCAGTCTCGAAAAAAAAAAAAAAAAATTACCTTGGTGTGGTGGCACGCGCCTTTGATCCCAGCTACTTGGGAGGCCGAGGCAGGAGAATCACTTGAACTTGGGAGGCAGAGCTTGCAGTGAGCTGAGATCGTGCCGCTGCACTCCAGCCTGGGCAAGAGACAGAGAGACTCCATCTCAAAAAAAAAAAGTCACTATTTTTCTGATTGTTAAGTAATTGGAATTATTAAAGAATTTGGAAAATATATAGAAAAGCATAAGTGTGAAAATAAAAATTACCCATAAAAGCCCCTGCCTAGGGAGAGTTGCTGTTAAGATTTTGAAGAATTGTTTTCCAATCTGATTTTGAAAATATATGTCAGGAGCATTTTCCCTGTTGTAAAGCAGCTTTTAAAAATCATTAGTAATATTATGATAACATTCTATTGTATGGATTTACTTTATCTGTCCATCTATCTATCTACTTGTTTATCTATCATCTGTCTACCTATGTATCCATTATCTATCTTTCTATCTATCTATCTAGTCTACCAGTCTCTATCTATCTGTCATCTGTCTATCATTTGTCTACCTGTCTATCCATCTATCTGTCTACTTGTTTATCATCTATCTACCTATCTACCTATCATGTCTATCTATCTATCACATTTACTTGTCTATCTATCATCTGTCTACCTATCTATCTATTATGTATCTATCTATCTACCTATCATCTGTCTATCATCTCTCTGTCTATCATCATCTGTCTACCTATCTACCTATCATCTGTCTATCATCTATCTATCAATCTATCTATCTATCTATCATCTGTCTACCTATCATCTGTCTATCTACCTACCTATTATCTACCTATCTATCATCACTCTATCTATCTACCTATCATCTGTCTACCTATCTATCATCTGTCTATCTATCATCTATCTATCTCTTTATCATCTATCTATCTATCTATCATCTCTCTATCATCTGTCTACCTATCATCTCTCTATCTACCTATTTACTTGTCTATCATCTATCTATCTATCTATCTATAATCTGTCTACCTATCATCTATCTATCTACCTATCATCTGTCTACCTATCATCTCTCTCTCTCTCTCTACCTATCTTCTATCTATCTTCTATCTATCATCTGTCTACATGTCTATCTGTCTGTCTACCTGTCTATGTATCATCTGTCTACCCGTCTATTATCTATTTATCTATCTAATCTATTGTCTACCTGTCTATCATCTGTCTATCTATCATCTATCATGTCTACCTATCTATTATCTGTCTATCTATCTATCTATCTATCTATCTATCATCTGTCTACCAGTCTATCTATTTGTCTGCCTATCTAGCCGTTCACCTGTTACTCAACATCTGGCTCTTTCCAATTGTGTTTATTACTATTATTATTATTATTATTATTATTATTATTATTATTTTGCTTTGTTAAGTAGCCTGGCTCATTAACTCCCTGTATAAATCTTTGTTCAAATTTCTGATAATTTCCTTACGATAGATTCCAAGAAGGAGACTATAGGATCATGAGAGATGACCTTTGCAGTTTTTGAAAGACATTACTAAATTGCTACCCTGGGGTTATTACACAAACCAGATGTGATTTTTACTATAAGATAATGAGGATATACTAAGGGTTCCTCTGCTGCTTAGATTCGATAACCCCAAACTTAAAAGAAGAAAAATGTTGTAAGATAGTCTTAAAACTTCTGAATAATATTGGAAAATTGACTACAAAAAGTTCAACTTTTTGTTACTGCATCTTAATTATGATAGAAATTGTTAAGCTTGTCCCAGTTAAGATGCAATATAAAAAACTGAGGTTTTTTTAAGTCTAGAATTTTAAATCTAACATAAAATGTAGAAGGACTCTTAGAAAGCACCTGCCAATTTTATAGATGATGAACGTGCAGCCAAGGGAAGTGGATTTCTCAAGATCACGCAGCTGCTGGTCTAAGAGCTGGTATAGGTATTCCTAACTCCAAGCACTGGTTATAGTAATTTCTTTTAGGAGATTCAAGTCCGGGCAGCACCTAGCAATACCCCACCAGCCAGGGATATCCTTGAGTTGGCTGTTCATAAATGGTTTTCCAAACACATTTTATTAATTGGTTAGAAGAACAGTGAATTACAAAGACGATACTGAAATAATGAGCATGTCTAAATAAGAGGTACTGTTGGAAACAAGGGTCGCCTGCTGCAGGAACTACCATGGCTTTGCCTTTGGAGAAAAGTGAGAATTTAATTCCTTTTGGAGCTTTTGAGTGACTGAGGAAAGTCTTATGCTTACCTCCTTTCTCAGGTTTTTGGAATGAATAATGAGCGAGAAGTAAAGCTTTGCTCTGCTTATCTTGCAGCCTGGGAAAAATGGGTTGACTGTGCAAGGAAGGCTGGCACGGCAAATGCATTTTCTTCCTTGTTTGAATGTAGAGACTTAAAATCCTAAGAAAACTGAGTTCTATACCAGCACTGTCCAATAGAAGATAATGTGAACCATGTATACAATTTTAAATTTCCTTTTTTGAGACAAAGTCTCTCTCTCTGTTGCCCACGCTGGAGTGTAGATCTTGGCATGATCTTGGCTCACTGCAACCTCTGCCTCCCAGGTTCAAGCAATTCTCATACCTCAGCCTCCCGAGTAGCGGGGACTATGGGCACGTGCCACCAAAACTGGCTAATTTTTATATATATAAAAATATATACAAATTATGTATATTTATATATATAATATATATAGGAATATATATAAAATATATATATAGGAATATATATAGAAATATAATTAGGAAAACTAATTTTAGTAACATATTCTGTTTACCACAATATATCCCAAATATTGTCATTCAACGTGTAATCAATATAAAAATTGTTATTGAGCTATTTTTTTTGTCATATTAAATCTTTGAAATCCAGTGCCTATTTTTCACTTACAGCCCATCTCAGTTTGGACTGGCCACATTCCGAATGCTCAATAGTCATGCGTGGTAAATGGCCTCTGGGTGGGACAGCACGGATCCACACAGCAGAATTCAGTGTCAGGTGAACCCATGCCTGAGGGCTTTGTTACCATAGTGGAAGAATAAAAATGATGATATGGTCATTTTAATGTCTTTTAAGTGTCTACCAGGCATTGTGTCTTAAGTCATAATTAAGAAGGGAGAGAGAGAGAAAGAGACAGAGAGAATTAAATTAGCCTCAGCTGGGTAATTTTGCACACTTGGCTGACAGCTTGAATTCCTGTCCCTGAGCGCCAACAGTTCATCCACTGCTGACCTTGTGGCAACCACCTGAAGGCCACTCAGTGCCCCCACTACCATCAGTCACACCCAGAGAGGCCTTGCCAGGGAGAGGAGTTGGGGGCTTGGTTCTAGAACAGGATGCCACAAATGGCAGAGATTTTTCTTATCAGGGACTCACAGTCATAGAAAGAAAGTCTCCTTGTTCAGGGAAGGTTGCTTTTGTTTGCTTTTTCTTTTCTCTTCTAGCTGAAGGGAGTTCCTGGGAAAGATGAATGCCATTGGAAGCGGAAATTCTTGCCAGTAAGAAAAAAACCTGCCCCATCCACACGCTTGCCCCACCCAAGCAGCTATTCCAGCTTCAAAGGACTAAGCAACTGGCCCAGCCCCTCCTGCTCCAAGCTGCCCCAGGGCCAGTCCAGGGAATGCTGGGCCAGGCCTTGCTGAGAGGCCTGTTCCCTTCATTTCCTCTCCCGGGAGAAGGGGCTGCATTTACAGCAGCTGTGCCCAGAGCCGCCCTTGCTGATTTAGATCAGGGATGACAAGGCAGGCCGGGAAAACCTTGATACTCAGATTCTTCAAGTAGGGAGGCCTTGCAGCAGGAGGGACTGAGGAAGCTGGGGGAGCCCTGGCAACCACATGCCGGAGAGGAGGGTCGGCAGAAGCAGAGGGTCTGGCACAGGTCCTGCAGCTTGATAAAGGGCAGAGCTCGGAAGTGAATGCATCTCTGACTGGCAGCAACATCTCAGTCTGCACTGGCCACATGCTGAATGCCGAATAGTCACATGTGGCACATGGCCTGTAGATTGGACAGCACACATCTATATGGTAGGGTTCAGTCTCAGGTGGACCCATGCCTGAGGGCTTTGTTACCAAAGTGGAAGAATAAAAATGATGAGATAGCCATCCTCTTGTGGCCTGTCTTCCTTCTCATTCATGCAGCGCCTCCGTGTAGAAGTCGAGCCTTTTCTGTGACTTACTGCTGAACTATCACCGTGTATTTGTGGGTATTGGGAGTAGGGGCTAAGAGGGAAGACTGTGTATGGGAAGCTCCAGCCAAGGCCATCACCCAAGCCAGTGTGTGGTGGTGCTCACAGCTGCCAGAACATCACTGAATCCTAGATTTGCTGCTTCATCATTCCATGAATATTTCCTGTGTCCCTACTGTGTGCCAGACACTGTTCCAGCCCTTGGGGGATCCAGCAGTGAACACAGTAGGCAGAAACCCCTGCTGTTGACTTCCCCTATAGTGGGGAAAACAGATAATAAAATAAGTAAATTACATAGCAGGTTAGAAGGTGACAAGCAGGAGAGGCGGACGAAACGTATGGGAAAGGGGATGGCTGCCATTTAAAATAGGGTGCCCAGGGAAGGTCTCATTGAGAAGGTGATATTTGAGCATAATCTTCCTAGATATAAAATGTTGAGGCAAATTCCTTAACCCTCTGACTTTTGTAAAATAACAATAGCAATACTACTACTAATAGGTAGGTCTATTTATTTTTTAATTTTTTGAGATGGAGTTTCACTCTTATTGCCTAGGCTGGAATGCAATGGCACAATCTTGGCTCACTGTAACTTCTGCCTCCTGGGTTCAAGCGATTCTTCTCTTTCAGCCTCCCAAGTAGCTGGGATTACAGGCATGCACCACACACCTGGCTAATTTTTTTGGATTTAGTAGAGACAGGGTTTCACCATGTTGGTCAGGCTGGTCACGAACTCCTGTCCTCAGGTAATCCACCCGCCTCGGCCTCCCAAAGTGCTGGAATTACAGGTGTGAGCCACCACACCTGGCCAGTAGATCTATTTAGAGTGCTTACTCTGTACCCTTCTACGTTCATTAATGCATTAACTCATTTAATCCCCTTGTCCCATGAGACGGGTGCCTTTTATAGTATTAACCCCATTTTACAGACTAGAAAATGGAGGCAGAGAAAAGTGAAGTAGGTTTGTCTGACGCCACACAGTTAACAACCCAGGCAGTCAGGTTGACTCCAGAGCCCGCTCCTTTCCCTGGCACCCCTTAGAGGGGTAGTCCTGAACAGAAGGTCTTCTAGATCCCACCCAGTTTCAAAGAGGAAACATGTATCGGAACATACAGAGGACACATTTCCAAGCTGAGCTGAGCTCGTGACTTGAGGTTGATCTTGGTGCTGCCACGTTTCTCCTGCACTGAGTGGCTAAATGCTATCCAAACATCCACTGTTTACAAGCATCACACTGGACACTGAAGAAGATACAGAGAATGTGGCTGAGGGCATCCTAAGAAATGGATCTTTGCTTTGGAGAGAAACCCATTACAAAGGGAGGCAGAACAAAACACTAGCAAGAGGCTGCACAGCTGATTTCCAAGGTCAGAGGGGAGCAGGGCCTGGGTAGCGGGTGTCTTGACAAAACATGCTCAAAGGCTTAAGTGGGGATCTTGCCTGCTGGCAGGATATGACTTCGAAGGGAGTCGAGGAGAGGGCATTGCCCAGGTAGGACAGGGATGGTACAGCTACAGGGATGGCACAGGTACAGGGGTGGAGTGAGTGGGGACAATGTAAGGTACATTAAAATGGTGAGCTTGTTCATCAAAACCTATTCTGCAGTCTGTTTCTCAGAGGTGTTGAGATTAATAAGTAAGAAGCTGCTACTAGATCCTGATAACCTGTTCTGATAGGGGGTTAATAGCTGAGTATAATAAAAACCAGCAGCAAATCTGAAAGGAATTTCCAGTTGGCTTTGGAATGCAGCTGAGTTGACTTCCTGATTACATTCCTTCCCTTGGCGCGTGTCACCTTGGGCAGGGTGGATAACCACAGTGGACGGCAAGAAAAGTCCACTTACTTGGTGGTGAAGGAAGAGCCTGGAAGACTGAGGCGCGGGGAGGTTCTGAGTGTGTGATCTTGAGCACAGTGGCTCTTTATCTCAGTTTCCCCATTCTGTAAATGGAGGATATACGCCTGTTCCCTGGTGGTTTTTTGGATCAAGTGCGCTAGCTCTGCCAAGCCTCCTAGGAGAATCTTACTGCTTCTGCGTGTCTGTCTCCCAGGTTCTGAGGGCTTCCTGTCCAAAGGCTCCCACCTAAGACCTTCTCTGGAGGCTGGCCTTTGGGCTACTGGAGCTTATTCTCCCACAAGCAAAGATCCGGAACATTCTGGGAATTCATGAGCCCATCCTGGCCCCAGTGGCCTGTAGCTAATGACAGTTCCCTTCCCCACCAGGGGACAAACCGTAAGCTGTAATTTATACTCCTGAGTCCCCTTTAGGGTCTGCTGAGGGTGGGATTGCACCAGAACTCATACCTGTGCTGGGCCTCTTCCCACTTCCCTGTCCTGTTTCCCGCATTCCCTTGCTGGTTTCTCATGGGAGTACTTCCATTGTAAGTCACTTGCTCATGAATCTTCTTCCTATGCTGTTTCGGGGGAACCCAACCTAAAAGTGTAGGAAAGCATTTTGAAAACTTGCAAGTAAAACATACACTTCTAAGGAACTACCACGTGGAGCAATTGCAGGACTGACCGTACAAATATCACATCTTTGAATTACTAGGTTCAGGATGGAACAAGAGGTCAAAAGGTGCCCCAAAGCCAGTTGTTCCATGACATCCTCTGTGCACTCAGCCTCTGTGACCACCACACCCCAACTTTGTGCGTGCCGCCTGTCCCCACGTCAACTGGGAGCTGTGATTAATCTTCCGGGACCTCTGGGGCCTCCACGGAGCTCCATCTGTTCAGCCTGCACCGCTTTCCACCCAGGGGTCGCCAGCTTATTCCCACTGCGCTCCCCATGTGACCTTTCTCAGGGCTCTCAGAGACAGGGAGAATCCTGAGTACAGGACACTGGCCCAAGCTGGATTCATCCGAGGGCTGTGTGAGGAAGGCACATGCTTTTGGAAATTGTCAAGGGGACAAATCATGGACCCAGATTTTTGATCAACAACATTTAAATAGAAACAAAAACTCATTATACCACCAGATTTAGGACTTTTAACAAGAAATACACACCTGCTTCAGCAACAGGCCCTCAAAATTCAGTCTTGTTTTGGTCTCCACTGTGGCTGAGGAGTTTCCATATTTCCGTGACACCCATGTGAGCCTGGGGACAGGATGAATCCACCAGCATATTCAAATTTTCAGAGTGTTCATCTTCCTCATTTAGGGGGTACATTTCAACTCTTTCGAAACTAGGTCACTTTAAAGACATTATCTTTAAAGATAATCAAACTTACAACATGAAACCCAGCAGCCTTGCTTTCCTTTTCTTTCTTTTTTTTTTTTTTTTTTTTTTGAGACTGAGTTTTGCTCTTGTTGCCCAGGCTGGAGTGCAGTGGGGCATGATCTTGGCTCACTGCAACCTCTGTCTCCTCGGTTCAAGTGATTCTCCTACCTCAGCCTCCCAAGTAGCTGGGATTACAGGCACCTGCCACCATGCTCGGCTAATTTTTGTATTTTTAGTAGAGACGGGATTTTGCCATGTTGGCCAGGCAGGCTGGTCTTGAACTCCTGATCTCAAGTGATCCACCCGCCTCAGCCTCCCAAAGTGCTGGGATTACAGGTGTGAGCCACCACGCCCAGCCCAGCCTTGCTTTTCTAATGGCCGAATTCTCACATCCTGTTCCATTGATTCTCATGCCCATGTTTGCATGTGTGTGTATGCACAGTACTCCTGTGAATCACGTGTGCCCAGCCTGGCCCCTTGATTTCAGTAAGACAGGGTAGCCTTACTCTGAAACTGGGCCCACTCAAGGGCTGTGGGGGTGATGGGAGGTGGGGAAGAGGGTTGGTGGGTATGATGGTTAATACTGAGTGTCACCTTGATTGGATTGAAAGATACAGAGTATTGATCCTGGGAATTCATGAGGGCATTGCCAAAGGAGATTAACATTTGAGTCAGTGGGGTGGGAAAGGCAGACCCACCTTTAATCTGGGTAGGCTCAAGCTAATTGGCTGCCAGCACAGCTAGAATATAAGCAGGCAGAAAAATGTGAGAAGAGAGACTGGCCTGGCCTCCCAGCCTAATCTTTCTCCCATGCTGGATGCTTCCTGCCCTCGAACACTGGACTCCAAGTTCTTCAGTTTTGGAACTCAGGCTGGCTCTCCTTGTTCCTCAGTCTGCAGGCAGCCTATTGTGGGACCTTGTGATCAGATGAGTTAATACTTAATAAACTCCCCTATATGTATTATATATATATACACAGTGGGAGTGGGAGGTGGGAGGCAGACCTAGCTGAGACTAGGAGGGAAGCCAGAGAGAGGTTTAATTTGGGGAATTGAATGTACACAGACATGTAGAATCAGAACCACCAGGCACTTCACCCCACCCAAGGCCAGGTGAGCTTTCAGCACTAGAGGGATGTATTAGTCTGTTCTCATGCTGCTTAATAAAGACATACCTGAGACTGGGTAATTTCTGAAGGAAAGAGGTTTGATGGACTCACAGCTCCACATGGCTGGGGAGGCCTCACAATCATGGCCGAAGGCAAAGGAGAAGCAAAGGCATGTCTTACATGGTGGCAGTCAAGATAGATTGTGCAGGGGAACTCCCCTTTATAAAACCATCAGCTCTCATGAGACTTATTCACTACCACCAGAACAGTATGGGGGAAACCACCCCCCATGATTCAATTATCTCCACTTGGCCCTGCCTTTGACATGTGGGGATTATTACAATTCAAGGTGAGATTTGGGTGGGGATACAGCCAAACCATATCAAGGGTCTAGCCCAGCATGGTCATATGTCCCAAGAGGTGGGCAGGGCAGTGACAGAGAGTCCAGGACCAAGCACTGGGGAAGTCCATCATAGATAGGGTTATAGGGGAGGAAGTGAGTGAATAAGTTTGCAGGGAAAAACAAAACACAGAACCCGTTGATGATGATGCCATGGCAGGTCACCCCTCAGGTGCAGAACAGAGTGCAGACACCAACCTGGGAAACGAGAGGCCAGCTGGGCTTGAAGCTGAGAGCCTAGGACTGGAGCTCCTTAAACCCATGGCTTCTGCA